TACAAAATATCTTCATGGAACATGATCTTTTATCCTAGTGATTTTTGGCATAGAAGAAAAATCTATCATTTTGACCCATACAATGTATTGTTGGCTATTGCTACAAATCTACCCGTGCTACTTATGACTGCTTTTGTGCTCCAGGGTCACATTTAATGCTGTTCAATGAAGCAAACTCATAATTTGTCACGCCTGAAATGATCTCTAAACGTTCCTGTGGTTCTCCTTCAGGTTCGTTCCGTCTTTCCTGCGGCTGGGCTCCTGGAACGTGGTGATGTTCGTGTCGTTCGAGCAGCTCAAGCGGGCCATGATGATGTCCAGGAGCAGAGTCGAGGCCACCACGTAGATCTTCCCCTCCAACTGAAATCCTTTCAAGCACACGGACTAACATGAGCAGCTGTTTCAAATTCCTCTGACAGGACGATGACGAGAACAGGTGTAACTTCCAGTTTCATGCTTCCGCTTTGGAAGTTAAACAGGCAACATTACGGGATGCATCTGACAGAAACACCAGAACCAGATCATGACTGTCATCCTTTCTCTTTCAGGGTAAACCACTATAAAAACTGCTGCCCAATACAACCATTGATCACACAATGCACAAATCTTCTGAACCTCAGCCCCTTGATATGTTAATGTACATAATGTTTATGTAATATTTATATTTCCTCGTTTTTTTAAGCAATTAGTGCTTTGTTTAAAGCAGCTATTTACCTTAAAGTCTATTTAACCCTGAATATCCATCACATAACCCTGGAATGACCTAGAAAGTGAGATTGCCTCATAACTGGAAACTTATAAAGATAAGCACACATGCTTCAATAAAACACCTTTATACTACTTTTGGATGTCTTTGTGGTGACTTAGGTTGTGTACTTTGTGAAATGAGCATGATATGCATCTCTCTAATAATAATAATAAAAAATTAAGTAAAAAAACAAACAATTTACTTAAATATTTAAGGTATCATGCATTAATCATTAAAAAACTACAAACCTAATTTTGTGACATGGAGCTTTATAACGTTTAAACAGCATTTTGCTTATGCATGCCGATTTTATGACTATATTACATTGTGGTAGTTATGTGAAATTTTATTCAAAAACATATGCATCATAAAAATCTTTACAGTTTACTGATGCAAATATAAATTTAAGAACAAATTATTCGATATTTAAATGTTTAGGGTATGATGCATTAATCACAATGTTCTTTAAAAAAAATTTTAAACAAAATTTTATAGACCTTGTTTTTGAGACATGCAACATTTTAATTTTTAAACAGCATTTTGCTTATGCACACAGATTTTATGACCAAAAAAAAAAAATCAAAATATTGAGAAAATCACCATTAAAGTTGTTCAAATGAAGTTCTTAGCAATGCATATTGCTAATCAAAAATTAAGTTTTGATATATTTTATGGTAGGAAATTTACAAAATATCTTCATGGAACATGATCTTTTATCCTAGTGATTTTTGGCATAGAAGAAAAATCTATCATTTTGACCCATACAATGTATTGTTGGCTATTGCTACAAATCTACCCGTGCTACTTATGACTGCTTTTGTGCTCCAGGGTCACATTTAATGCTGTTCAATGAAGCAAACTCATAATTTGTCACGCCTGAAATGATCTCTAAACGTTCCTGTGGTTCTCCTTCAGGTTCGTTCCATCTTTCCTGCGGCTGGGCTCCTGGAACGTGGTGATGTTCGTGTCGTTCGAGCAGCTCAAGCGGGCCATGATGATGTCCAGGAGCAGAATCGAGGCCACCACCTAGATCTTCACCTCAGACCGAAATCCTTTCAAACATGCAGACTCACACGAGCGGCTGTTTCAGACTCCTCTGACCAGACGAGAACCGGAGCGGCTTCCAGTTTCACACTTCCGCTTCGGAAGTTCAACAGGCAACAGAACGGGATGCATCAGTGAGAATCATGACTGTCATCCTTTCTCCTTCACTATAAAGAAAGGCTGCTCATACAACGCACAAATTCAAATGAGAGGATCTTCGGGCTCCTGGAACGTGGTGATGTTCGTGTCGTTCGAGCAGCTCAAGCGGGCCATGATGATGTCCAGGAGCAGAATCGAGGCCACCACCTAGATCTTCACCTCAGACCGAAATCCTTTCAAACATGCAGACTCACACGAGCGGCTGTTTCAGACTCCTCTGACCAGACGAGAACCGGAGCGTCTTCCAGTTTCACACTTCCGCTTCGGAAGTTCAACAGGCAACAGAACGGGGTGCATCAGTGAGAATCATGACTGTCATCCTTTCTCCTTCACTATAAAGAAAGGCTGCTCATAAAACGCACAAATTCAAATGAGAGGATCTTCTGAACCCCCTTGATGTCTTAATGTACATAATGTTTATGTAATATTTATATTTCCTCGTTTTTTTAAGCAATTAGTGCTTTGTTTAAAGCAGCTATTTACCTTAAAGTCTATTTAACCCTGAATATCCATCACATAACCCTGGAATGACCTAGAAAGTGAGATTGCCTCATAACTGGAAACTTATAAAGATAAGCACACATGCTTCAATAAAACACCTTTATACTACTTTTGGATGTCTTTGTGGTGACTTAGGTTGTGTACTTTGTGAAATGAGCATGATATGCATCTCTCTAATAATAATAATAAAAAATTAAGTAAAAAAACAAACAATTTACTTAAATATTTAAGGTATCATGCATTAATCATTAAAAAACTACAAACCTAATTTTGTGACATGCAGCTTTATAACGTTTAAACAGCATTTTGCTTATGCATGCCGATTTTATGACTATATTACATTGTGGTAGTTATGTGAAATTTTATTCAAAAACATATGCATCATAAAAATCTTTACAGTTTACTGATGCAAATATAAATTTAAGAACAAATTATTCGATATTTAAATGTTTAGGGTATGATGCATTAATCACAATGTTCTTTAAAAAAAATTTTAAACAAAATTTTATAGACCTTGTTTTTGAGACATGCAACATTTTAATTTTTAAACAGCATTTTGCTTATGCACACAGATTTTATGACCATATTACGTTTTTTATGTGAAATAACATTGATTTTGAAATGCAGGTGCAGCTCACTTCAAAAACTCTTTAAATGATCATGATAGAAATGTAAATTTGAGGAAAAAGTTCAAATGATTTCCTTAAAATATTTAAATATTTATGGAATCATGCATTAGACAGGTTACTATGCATGCAGATTTTATGATCATAGTTGTCTAAGAACTACAAGGAATATATATTTTTAAAAATTCACAGAATTAATTCAAATTAAATAGTAATGGCAAAAAGGTGACAAAATTATTAAAAGTAGTGACCAATTATAAGACGGAAAACATGTGCATGCATTTGGACCTAAAATCTGAAAACATGGAATGCATTCATTTAATTTAATTACCCACTCAAAAATGTAACTTTATTGCCAAACCTCTAATGAAAAGATTCAAATATTGCATTTGAATATTCAGTCACTAATTTTATTCTTCAACATTAGGTAAGAATCCAACTCTATAAAATGAATCGGGTCATCAGGAATAAAAAGTTACATCTTCAAAACCAAACAGCGTTTCTATATAAGACAACGACACAGTGTCACATCGATGTTTGTGCATACAAATGCTGTACTTTGGAACTGAGTTGCGGTCTGAATAACAATATTCACAAAACAGATTAGTTATTAAATACTCGTTATAGGCCACATCAAAGAATTGTGCAGACGATGACGGGTGCGGGGTTTAATACAACTTAAACACACTTTAACATGCAAAGAGGTTGAATCATCTGCATACAGAAGAATAAACAACATCTTTCGAACATAAACGTCATCTTCCTGAGATGAGTAAACATGAGAAGCAGGAGTCACGTGACCGCGACCAAAATGCTCAAGTGTGAAGGGAATCCCAATCTGTTCATTGGAGAGTTAAAAACATCACTTTGAAAGTATTATTAATAATACTTAACAGTGCAAGTCTTTTCCCTGACCAGGTCAATGTAGCTAAACAACCAGCTATGTACTCTTGATGTACAGTTTATACAGCTGTTTAATTATTAATATTCAAATAAAGTTTCATGCACGTTGTACATGTACTAAAAACTATCATGAAGTCAATGGAAAAAGAAAAGCAAATCAACTGTCGTGGCTTCCTTTTGTCTGTGCAATGATGCTGGAATGTTGGAATCACTTCTCTTGGTCCACGGTCATGATGAGCGTGACCTCAGGCATCTGAAGCTGACCTTTGACCTTGTCGTGGAACTTCTCCCTGTAGCGATTGAACTCCATGATGCTCTCCGGCTCCTCTTCCAACCAGAACTTATCAAACTCATACGCCAGGTAACCTGCCAACAGGAAACAGTAGAAACACATGACATGAAAAAAAAAAAAGATGACTTTTTACATAAAAAAAACGTAAGCCTATTTTGGGAACTTGAATGCAATATATACTGTAATATGCTGCAAAATAAATAAAGATACAAAAAAAAACATTTGTTTAAATCAGCACAAGTTCAGTATAACAAACACTAGTTTGCTGCCATAAGATAAATACATACTAAAAATATGTTTTCCAAATTTTATACTTTCAAATATATTATTATTATATAAACATTAATTTCAATAATAAATAAGAACAAATGAATAATATAATAAAACAATTCATACAAAATATTTTAATATATTTGATATTTAATACGAATTATTATTAATAAAAAAACAGGGGCAAAAATCAGCACTGTCCTAAAATGTGGCTTTATTTTCCTTAATCAAAATGTGATTTTTATTTATTTCGGAATTGAATATGATCGAACCATGATCTTCACAGGTTTTGTGAGACTCATTGCTCTTTATACGTATTTCTCATTTTATATATATATATATATATATATATTTGTGCTGTCAAAAAATGAATCGCGATTAATCGAATCCAAAATAAAGGTTAAACACATCAGGGAAGCAATGAAACGTCATCTTCTCATAAGCAGAGAAGCTGCACTTACAGGAGGTTTGTGAGGCCCAGCATCCCCATCCCTCTGAAATCAGTCTTGGGATCGTCGCCCTGGAAACCAATGTTTCCCCACTGCTTAGTGATCCTCGATTCCAGCTTCACTGACGGCATTAACAGATCCCACAACTGACAGAAAACAAACAGAACTGAGAACCTCTGAAGCTCAATCATCTTAAAACGATCCTAAAAATTAGATAAATCACCTTCAGAAGCATGTTCTCATGTTCTTTATTTTCGGAGTCAAACACCTGTTTTCTTACTTCCTCGACCGCCTCGAACAGCTCGTTATATGCGTTGATTTGTAACAAACACTGACGGAGATTCAACTTAAACCTGTAAGAGAGATTTCTGCATGTAAAACTGCAGTCGGACCTTGATAATATCCACAACATGCACAAATCTTGAATACATGCTAAAAATAAAACAATAATCAACCTTGAAAATAAAAACTGTGAAGCAATTAGACAAGTTTCTTGAGTAGCAAGTAGAAACAGTAGTAAAAAATGTGTTAGGGTTAGTTTAAGTTGATTTAATAATTCACTATTAGCATTAATGTTCATTCAAGTACTAATGTATTTATTTTAGTGCGGGGCAACGATTAATCGCATCCAAAATAAAAGTTTTTGTTTACATAATATATGCGTGTGTACTGTTTATATTTATTATGTATATATAAAGACACACACACATACATCATATATTTAGAAAATATTTACATGTATATATTTATATTATATATAAATATATTTAATATATAAGCATAACATTTTTCTTAAATATATACATGCATGTGTGTGTATTTATATATACATAATAAATATA